CTCGGAGACGAAAATGTGAATGATGTTCGCCAGATCTGCCTCTCCCGTCAAAATAACAAGAAATGTCCTGACAGAAGCTCGTGTCCTTTAATGTCGTTTTAGCGAAAAGTTTTCCCTGAACGCAGCCAGCTCCACACATGTATGCATACACACAGGACATTTAAAGGGCTGGTCCGCTCAAATCTCACAATTACATCTGGTGTCGCACCATCCAGAGAGTGTGTGTTTTATTAATCACACAATGGAAGTAAATAGAGCTTTGTTGGTGGTTTTTATTTATCTTTTTCTTTTTTTTTTCTTTTTCCAGTTTTTCATTTAGACGATTTCCTCAGAGTTGTGGGTCCCAACCTGTGGATCAGCACCCCCATAAGGGTTCACAAGATTAATCTAAAGGGTCGTGCGATGATCACTTACACACTAAAAACTACACAAAAGCCATGTTTCTTTTTCAGACTTTTCTCTAGTCCTTTGCTTCTTTTTTTGTGAAAAATCTTTCAGACAATCTGAGAAGAAAACTTCACTCTTTGACCGAACTGCTCACAACTTACTGTATATACACACATGCTGTAATCTGTGAGGAAGGGTCTCGAGGACATATCGCTCTGTGTCACAGGGTCAAAAGCAAAAACAGGTTTGTAACCACTGCCTGAGTGTGGACGTAGACCAACTAAAAACATATGTATTTTAGTCATTTTGGGGTGAACCGACCTTTTAATAGAAACTCAGTTACATGATGAAAATCTAAATTAAATAAAAGTTTGCACAGAAAAAAAACAATAAAACACATTTTGATGTGGTCACTGCTGATAATTCAGTTAGCAATTAAGACATAAGCAACATGATGGTCTTTAAGAAAATAATGTTGTGAGGCCAAACATTGTTCAAACTTTATTTTCAGACACAGCAAATATGTCCGGCTGAATTTAGGGGGAATGTGTATTAAAAAAAAAATTGCACAATACATCCAGAATTGTGCAGTTTGAATATTGAATATTTCAATATGTCTGTCGTTGGAAACATCATAGTAAAGAATAAATAATATGTAATACATTATATGTTACTGTCAGTTTGAAATAAGATGATTTTTATCAAACTTACAGCCACATGAGGTGGAACAAAATGGGAAACTGGTGAATGGTGAGAGGTTAAATGAATACGTCTGTGTGCTTTATGAACAGTTGCTGAAACAAAACAGTTTTTTTTTATTATTTTTAGTTTTTTCTACATGTCAGACATAATATGTTGTAACTTTTGGTCACTCAAAACAAAGCTGCTGGTTGAGAGCAGTTTCATCCTCACACAATGAGCTCAAGTTACAGACTAAACACCAACTTCAGCTGTTTGTGAGTTGCAGAGGACGAGCCCTTCTCATTCTTATTAGCATGCACCATATGGGAGTATGGTGGCGTAACAATGCAAACACAATGGCTGGGTCTGCTGGCTGCCAGCATGCAGAGCAAGGTCAGTGCTAATTACTCATGATTTCCAGGGATTATCTGACCCTTTGGTATTTTTGATTTCAAAAGGAAAATGCCATCTCAGATGTAGTTCCCAAATCCGTCCACAAATGTTTAGCTGGGAGCACATGTGGTTTAGTGAGAGGGCCTCCAGCTCGGGCCTCCTGCACAATCAAACCACTTTAGTGGCCCCACAATACAAGCTCATCCTGGAAAACATGTGACAAAAAAACACAGAGTGTGAGGGAGAGTCGGTCCAGCGCAGCAGAGACAAATAAAGACGGGAAAACACCTGTTGCCCTCAGAGAGAGAGAGAGAGAGAGAGAGAGCTTTCATATTAGAGACTAAACTCATTAACTCTGAGCAGTTTTAATGTGCAGAGAGGTTTATCCACGTCATTATAGAAATCATATGTATTAGGACATTTTCTAAGTTGCCAAATAATTTCAACAAGCATATTTTTATATATGCAAATAATTGATAGTTGTTGCTGTGTCGCCTTTAAAATATCTCCAGCTGGAAATAATAAGGTGGTTTCCTTTATTATTAACCATAAAATTACTGATAATGACCCACTCATAACCTTCAAAACTCATATCAGGACTCATTCTCCTGGGACTCTGCGGGCCAACATTTCCCCTTCTTCTCTCTCTTCTCTTTTATTTCGGAGTTGTTATCGTTCAGCGTGTTCCGTAATACTTTTCATAAATCGTCTCTCAATGCTCCGAAATGGTGAAATAATGGCTCTTGTCGGCCACCCGCATTTAACTGTGCTGTAAAAATAATGAAAGTCATATTGCGCTGCGGTTTCAAAAATCTGCACAAGGCGAGCGGCGCAAGTTTGAAGGAGGTCCTGACATGTTTTTCTAAATTGCTATGAATTTTCAATTTTTCGACGATTGTATGGAAAGTTGTTTTGGAGAGCGCGAACTGTTTGGAGCGCAGCCGGCAGTTTTATGTTAGAGGGATTAAAGAAAAGTGTTGGAGCAGAATAAAACGAAGATATTTTTAGTTATCAGGTCAATATTTACCGAGCTGAGCGCAGTGACATGTCACCTCCTGTTCATAAAAAGTAAATTAACTCAGTTTAAACATTTCCCGACATAGTCCCATATATTTGCTTTTATAGTGCAGCCTGTATATTTTATATATTTTATACACTTTGTATGATTGTATGATTGCGAGAGCAGAATTTTAAAGGAACTGGCACGAGACGAAAAAGTGTTAATTAAAGTAGATAAATAAATAGATAAATAAATATTTTTCCCCAAAAGTTCATAATTCCATCCCAACTAAATTAATAAATTGTTAATTTAATAGAATAATATATAATATAATCAATAAATTCATAAACATATATATTGTTTGTCTTTGTTTTTATATTAAGGTGTTGTTGGTGTGTTTTCTACACTGGCAGTAGAGGATGTGTGTGATGCCTCTTTGCTTCATCGTAACATTCATTATTTATTTAGTCTAATTTCTTAATGATTTCATTTACGTTACTTCAGAGCAAAAACAACTTAGACAGCAATTAGTTGATTCATTATTAACAAATACGTATTAATAATTTGTTGCCAATGTAAGAGTGTGCGAAGTGACTGCACGTAACTGTAACTGTGCGTGCGTGTGTGTGTGTGTGTGTGTGTGTGTGTGTGTGTGTGTGTGTGTGTCTAGAGTTGTGAAGCTATGCGAATTTATTTGTGTAGCACTTCAACAACAGGACAGTTTAACGTGTTGATACATACTGCGGGACATTACACGGAACAAACGGGTTGGTGAAGTAGAATGAACTAAAATAGAAGATAAAACTGAAGTTGAATAAAACAGGAGAATAAAATCTTCACACAGCAACAAGTCGGTGCAAGATCTGAATAAATAGTTGCTAATTTAATGTAATAGTAAAAGGCAGTGTGAGTTTTAAGCCTTGATTCAAAAGAACATCTTGTTTTTATTATTATTATTACTATTATTATGACTAGTAGTAGTAGTAGTAGTAGAAGCAGTAGTACTAGTAGTAGTATAATGTAGGCTTCCCCAAACCCGGTAAAAGCACCTGACTTGACCTGGTGAGTGAAGGTGAAGTGATTTCCTCAGTGTGTCTGCCCCCGTGTGGTGCAGTGACACTTGTGTTTATCCTGCAAACACAACACAACAGGAAGCTCCTCAGTAAACTGTCACATGTAGTTACAAGATCCTGGGAAACAAACGAGGAACTCTAACATCTTAATCTGAGTGGCTACATGGACTCCTATCATTATCATTATTATTATTATCATTATTATTATTATTATTATTATTATTATTGGTGTGTATGTTAATTGCCTTTCTAAAGTGACAGATCTGCTCATGTTGAGGTAATCATTCTCTCCCACACACAGTTATGAGCAGTGCTGGTGATCTGTGAACAATTATAACCAAATGGTAAATGACCATTATGACTATTTCCTCTTTTTGATGTTAATTTTCTGCAGCATAGAACATTAAAAAAAAAAAACTTAAATTGTCTCCATGTTTGTTTCAGGGCAATAGTGGCCGTCTGCATTTCCTCTGCCAACATTTAATGGGCATGTACAGTGGTTTGTGCAGCTATTGAGAGACAACAAGCACTGGATAAATGTGTGTGTGTGTGTGTGTGTGTGTGTGTGTGTGTGTGTGTGTGTGTGTGTGTGTGTGTGTGTGTGTGTGTGTGTTTTTATGCTGAATGTAAATTTAGTATCTCAAAGTTTCCAAAACCTTAGAGGCCTCAGATACAGCTGAGTTTGTCCATAAATCTCCATTTTAATGAGGTTTTCTTCCAGGGAGTCTCATCTTGGTGGATTTTATGACTTCATACATAATTATTATGGTAACTCTACATGATAACAGCTGTGAGAGGAAAGTGAAACCTAAGCTCTGTTGCTCTTGTGTTGCTGTTGAAGTTTTGTTCTTATCAAATCACTTTGACCTTACATCCTTTAACTTAAAAAAAGAAAAATTCCTAACAAGTTTCAGTTGGCGTTTATGGCGGACTGTGTTTGTTAAAGGACGGGTAGATGTCTTCATACGCAGGTGGACGTGAACAGGTAGAGCCGCTCTCCTCCCCACGTCCACTTTCGTCCTCTGTCTTCTCAATCCTGCGTGAAATTAAAGGCAAATGAGAAATCTCAGTCAGTCTGGACTGAGGAGAAGATCTGGCTAATATCCAAATGTTTACAGGCCCAATTGGTTATGCTTAAAGCACATTTTAGGAAGCAGATTGCCCTTTAAAAGAAAACACTGAGGTTGAGCAATTCCTCCCTTGATCGTTCCTCTATTTGGCATTAACCACTGGAAACATACTGAAACAGGTCAGAAGTTGTGACAACATAAGTGCGAGCTGGTGAGCTAAGCATGTGTTCATATGATCAGGGCAGCAGTTTATAGTTATCCTAGGTTAACTGTATTATTCCTGCTGTCTGTTTTTATTAAAGTGAATTACTTTCCTGGAAACCTGCTGGGAGTAATCGCCTAAAAACAATAAAAGAAAGTGAAAACTTGCAACTTTCCACTAATGGAAAGCAGCTTTTTGTTTAGCAGGACGTGTCAGAGGGTATTTGATTGGATTTCAAATACATAGGATCCTGCAATTAGTGGAAAGAAACTTTTTGCACTTTGTGCAGGAACAGGTGGAAAAATATGATGAACTAAAAATGCCACAGTTTGCTTTTCCTTTACAAAGCACATACGTACTGTAAAATGTCTTTAATATGACGTTATACTTCTGAAGGATAATTAAATGAGAAGATGAGGTGCTATTATTGTCTTAATCGTCCCCATTTCATTGACACATGGCTTATTTTACTTTATGAAAAGGCTGCGAGAATGTCAAACTGATTATCTCTTTTCTACATTTTCTCCTCTTAACTAAATAATCCAGTTTTATTTCGTTACTTCGTGCCAATAACCCGACGCTATGTGACACATTGCTCTCAGTACAGTAATTTAGTGAATCAATACGAGTGTGTTGACTATTACGGAGAGATTAATTGCGCCATAATTGGCTGAGAGAGTTCTGACGGCCAAAAACCCTGTGGGCCAAGTGGAAAGAGATCTTGTGGTTTAATAAGAAATGAACTCTGGCGCACTGTGTCTGTGTTAATGAGCACTCTGAGAAGCTGTGAGTTTTTAACACACTCACATCTGACATAAGATTAACTCTCCTCCCCCGCCGGTTATATCTGCTCTAGTGTCAACATGTTGCATGCTGGGTGAAAAAGCCAAACCCAGCGCTTATCCATTTGCCCGAATTGGTGCTTTTGAATAAAAACTACAGCGTGTACCTGTCCTCTAAAACCACAGGTTCTTCATCACAGCATGTTTAAGTAATGGAGGAACCCAGCAGGAGTTTCTTAGAGGTTTGTGCTTTTCTTAAAAGTTAGAGCAGTGTCTGTTGTGTAAGCACCGTTCCCTACCTGCTTCTTCTGTTGTCTGTTTCTCTGCAGCTGTCTTCTTCTGCTGTGAAAGCTGCGTTATCCACACAGTAAACGCCGTCATGAGGAGGAAGAGCTGCGTGGATGCCAGGTTGGAACTCAATGGTCTGGCGTACTTCCTGGGTTATAAAGTTATAAGGAGGTGGAATACATACCGTTGTTGTGGCACTGTGTAACATGATTGATGGTTGATTTATGCCATGTAACGTACAAGAATGTCCCCTTAAAGTCTGCTCGATCACAGGCCTCACAAGCACCTCTTCATCCCTCCATCTGCAGGGCCAGCAGTGGGCGATGCCAAACTTGCAGACACTGGTGAGCATGAAAGTCCCTCCGACTGAGATCAGGACTGGGCCCAGCAGTTGGATCACCGCAAAGCTGGAGTTGGCTTGGTAGTGCTGCCAGCCCATGGTGGTGAAGAAGACGCCAACCAGAGCCAGGAGGGCTCCAGAGAACAGCAGGGCAGCTCCAGTCTTCTCAGCATCCAGCAAGCTGTCAGACTGGCGAGGGCGCGGAGCAGGCGTGACCATCACCATCGGGTCATCAGGTGGTCCACTGAGGACTGCTGTAGGATTTCTAGCACTGTCGGTCTCCGTTGCAGGCCTTTGTCCCGCCATGTTAGTCCAGAAACCCTGGGGTCCTTGTCGCTCCATGAGATGCCTCTGAATCACGTGTCTGGACTCAAACTGAGCCTCTTATAGTGAACACAAAGTCAAACTGAATGAGCACTGAGTAACTCTGAAGACTTTTACTAAGCCAAGAGGACAAGTTATAAGTTAACCTGCTCCCATGGTGCGCCAGTATTGGTCACCATGTTCAAATAGCAACCTCTCATGTATGAATGACAACGTGGATAACATGGTGGTTCACAAAGGAGTGCAAGTTGGTGAGTTAAGGCAACTCAAAAAAGTCAATTTGGCTAATATTTTAGTCATGTATCCATGCAACCAACCCGCAGGGTGCATAACGTGAGATACTAAGACCATGAGAGAAGATTTGGTGCGTTTAAGGTCTGTCTGAAAGAGTCTGAGAAACAGGAAAAAAGGGAGATTCCTGCACGCACGGACCGTGATCCGAAATCCACCTTGTCACATGTCATTTCACACAGACACGTCTCCCAACTGCGCTGTTATGCATAACTTATCAGGGACAGCTCATGCCGCAATAGTTGAACAATCAGTATAGCATGTTAAATGGAAGGGCTTAAAAACACATCACGCTATACGTGTTACAGTCAGGGGCTAAATGAGCTGCACACAAAGTGAAACCCACACGTTAACACGCAGGAAAGAACCTCGACACTTGAGCCGGGTTGGCAGAGGAGTGCTGAAGCTCGCTGTTCTCTCAATGAAATCCTGGTTTTATGCAAATCTACTGATAGTGAAATTGTGCAAGTAATAAACTTGGCAGTGTGTATTGAATGGAATTCTATTCAAATGAGTAACTGGAATTCACTTTGAACTTTAAGTCTCTCGTTTAGTTTATTTCTTGTTTTTGTGACAAAGCAGAATTATCATTACTAGCCTTGTCAATCTGTTCCTGCACTAGCAGAGCAGTCTGCATAACAGCCAGACGTGAGTGTGTGTGTGCTACAGTAAAAAAAACACCTATGCGCATGAATTTTTAATTCTGAATGCAAACACGGTGACATGCAAACATGTTTTTCAGCTGAATTTCATAGCAGTCTGCTCTTCTCCCAGCGGACAGCTTGCATTTGCCTACATAAAAGCACATCCGCGCTTGTGTTGCGTGTAACAAACCTGCCAATCGGAAAAGGAGGATCATGCACTGCTTATGGCAAAGCAAAACAAAAGGTCTTCAGAGGGAAACAACTGACTATCAAGCACACAAGGCCGGTGGCTGATCAAACCTAACCTGTGTGTGTATCTATGTCCTTGAGTGTGTGTGTGTGTGTCTTTATGTTTACCATAGCCTCAGCTCATTTCACTTGGCACTAATGAACAAAGGGACAGATAACTATACAAAGAATCCATATGACTGCAGTGTTTAAAGAAACCCCCCAGAATTGAAGCTGCACAGATTCTTTCAATTAGCAAACTCCAAATATTTATGGACTGAACATTTCCTCTCTGGAAGGAAGGAGAGCTCTGTGTGTGTGTGTCTCCTGTTGACTCACACTGGGGCGTATTGATCCCCTGGGCTTATGCTTCATTTCACTTCAGCTCTGCCATCATCCTTTAAAATGCACATCTGTCCAATATCTGTACAGTACATTGGCTTTCCACTGTCATAAGGCAGCAACGTGTTGATATCCAGTACAAGATGTTGTAAAATTACTCTTTAAAATAATGTATTAAAAAATTATGCCACGTCTCTCTGTGTGTGAATAGTGCCCTTCTCTCTTCTCCTTCTGTGTGAACTGAGTCCTTGTGTCTCTCTCTCTGTAAGAAATGTATCCATGCCTCTGTCTCTCTGTGTGAACAGTGTCTTCGTCTCTTCTCCCTCTGTGTGAATAATGTACCTGTTCTGTTCCTCTGTGTGGCCGGTGTCCTCATCTCTTCTTCTGTGGTGAACAGTATCCTCATCTCTTCTTCTGTGGTGAACAGTATCCTTGTCTCTTCTCCCTTCGTGTGAACAGTGTCCTTGTTTCTCCTTTTATGTGAATAGTGTTCTCTTCTCCCTCTGTGTGAATAGTGTCATTGAGTTTTGCTTTTCCATATTGAAATGTTACTATTGTTATTTCACTCTTCTCTGTATCAACAACATCTATTGTATTTCTGACAAATTTGAGGCAAATTTTTAGATTTATGATTATGATTAAGTTATATAAATAAAACAGCTTGATTGTTTGTTTTTCAATGTACTTCATATGGTCTGTTATGCTCAGATTATAAGGAACATGTATGCCTCTATTGCATATTCAAAGGCAATGCAATTGTAATGGCAGATTTTGCCAGGTCAATAAAGAAGGACCAAAGGCCCACCATAGGAATTAAGATGTGACCATTTCTCAGTCATCCCCTCCCCCAAACACACACACACACACACATGCTTACCATGACAAATAGCCTGTGACGTGCCTCTGTGAACATGGCACGGAAGGGTCCACTCCCTCTCCCCAGGGCTGACGAGGCAGCGGAGTCTGCAAGGAGATGGGACTCTGAGCGTCTCATCACTGGATCCTCAATGTTACTTCCAGCGAATCATTTCACCTTTCTAGCAGTGGTCAGCAAAAAAAAAATCTACAGTGAAATTACAGCAGGAGTATTTCTGTTTGCAGGTGCCAGGTTTATTCTCTTTACATATCTTGGGATTAACATATCACCTGACTCAGTGTCTTGAATGTGCAAAAGAAACAGAGTGGTATACAGCTATACTCTGAAATGATCCATAGCATTAAAATAGGTAACTGGTTTTAATGTTGTGGCTGATTGGTGTATGATTCAATTACTTCAAGCTACTGACACAAAAAGAACATATTGTTTCAATTTCAGGGTGTCAGGTTGTGACTATACTTATAAAGCCTGAAACAGAAACAGTGACGCAACACTTAGCTCCTTTAGCCTCTACATCAACCTTCAAGAGGACCTCAGGTAATGTGACTGGATTATTGCTTTTAAATCTGAATAAATATTTTTTATTAGATATTTTATCTTAGTCTAAATCACATTACACTAAAGATTGAGCAACTAAAGATTAATTGATTGATGTATTGATTGTAAAGCTCATGATCAGCTGGTGTCAGCCAGATTCAAGCTATTTGTCCAAATCCCTTCATAACAATAAACTTCCTGTCAGTTTTGTTAACGCTGAATTGTGTTCATATTTTTATTACCAGGGGGAAACATTTGACAGAGGTTTGCCTTGCTGAGTGGAAAAAGTGACAGATACCATTTGGACATGAGTCTGACATGTTCAGGGTTTGAGTTATTCTAAAGAGGTCTTCTGGGTTTTGGAGCGAGCAGGAGAAGCGGAGGGTAGGAATCCATATTAATGCAATAAACTTACACCATCCTTGTTTGTTCAGATGGTTTTTCTTGTGGTGAAGAGGGAGATCAAATGGGCACATCGATTATAAATTGTCCGTGAATGTTACTGATGTGGGGCTCGCTCTCTGGATTGTAGAATAACTCAGCTCTATGGCTCCACCGGGCCTTTGGACAAACATAACTGTGATGGCCGACAACAAAGAGTAAATGTTCCCTCTGCTCCAACTGTTTCACGGAGCTGATTCTAACGTTCAGGCTCTCTCAATCGATACCAGACACAGGCAACTTGACCGTCCAAGAACCCAGAATTTCCTGTGTTGAAAGTTTGACCTTCATGAAATGTTTTTTTTTTTGGTTGTTTTTTTTGGTTGTTTTGCTGAGAGTCAGATGACAAGTCACAGTAAATATGGAGCTACGGCCAGCAACTGGTTAGCTTAGCTTAGCAAAAAGACTACCAGCTCTAATAAGGTTCACTGATTAACAAATAATATCTTGTTTGTTAAATCTGTGCAAAAATGTAAGTGTACCCAGCAGTTACAGGACATATCGTCAGAAAGATGCTGGACTCTAACGACTCTCATGATGAACAAACATTACATTTTAGTTGAAAATGAAAATCATGTTGATGTCAAAACCCAACATTGGCCAACTGACATTGTGACATTTAGCAGATGTTGGGTTTTGGTCACCGTACTTCACATCAAGATGGTGCTGGTATGAGATGTTTGGAAGATGGATTTTGGATACTTAACAACACAACTTAAAACTAAACAAAACATAAACGTCAGCTGTCGTCTGACATTGAATTTTGAATTTTGGTCATTACAACCTACATTCAACCAAATTTTAACGTTTAACAGCATTGGTGGACAACTGCGTGCATGCTGGGGTAAAAACATCAAGTTGTGGTTTAACAGGTGGTTCATGTGCTGGACTATTTCTTTGCCAGGAGCAGTGATTTGAAGTAGTCTCATTGTTACTGAGAGATTGCCAGCCTACCAGCTGAGATTCACTGGTCCAACACATAGAAGTGAGCCCTCATAAAACCACAACTGATCATCACACTTTTACACTTGGTTTTTAAACAAGATTTAAGGTGTTAATTTGTGAACTTCAGCTGTACAGGAATGCAGATTTTGTTATCTTTTGACAGGGCTTGGCTAGCTGTTTCCAGTCTTTATGATAAGCTAAGCTAACTTGCTGCTGGTTGCCATCAATCATCTCATGTAACTCTTGGCAAAATAGCAATTTAGTGTATTTCCCAAGACGTTTTTTGTCTGAATTAAAAAAATGAGATATAACATGTTAATTACTGAGTTTTAGAGGGGGTGCAGTTTTACCTTCAAACTGAACCAGGCTAGCTGTTTCCCTCCATTTCCAGTTTGTGTGCTAAACTAAATTTAGCATATAGGTGTGAGAGTAGTTTGATCTTAACATCAAACTCTGGGTAAGAAGGCAAACACATTTATTGTTTTCCAAAATGTCAAACTATTTGCTTAAACTCTCACAATCACATTTTTTTTATTAGCCTGCTCACCTGCATAGCCTAGCCCACACACTCAGATTCACAGATCCTCTTAAGTTGTATAAAATACATGGCCACACACAAAAGTCTTCACATGGACCAACACAGTTCAGCTCAGATATCTCACACGCTGGAGACCCTAAGATCTCTTCATCTTCGTCTGAGCAAGGCGGACAGGGAAAAGTAGAGTCAACACTGATGGCTCACACATGTGGCTGTGGAGAGGCAGCTCAGACAGCATATTTCAAACAGCAAGGAGGAGGTCTTCAGGCCGAGGGACACAAGGCATGACTGAGTGTGTAAATATGCACAAGGTGTTGATGTAGTGCTGAGCGCGTACGCACAGTCATGCATACATCCTCCTAAGCAAAGCACTGCATGAGGTTCTCACAGTGCAAACAGTACATCAGTAACACATGTGTGGTGGTGTCTTCAAACTTTGTTTTCGTGCTCTATCATCCTGCATGTCAGTGGAGGGTTTAATACAAACCTTTTGACATGGATTATACTCGTAAAAAAACTGACAATAGATTTGTTTTGTTTATCTTGTAGTATTGCAACTTCTGTCTTTTCAGTCTACAACATTTCATCAGTAAAATCTGTATATTTGTGGGGGGGTTTAGAGGGCTTTAAAAGGCTAGTTCATCCCTAGACACAATTTTTTCTCTATCCCTGAGAGCGAACTATCAATCCAGGTCATTTCAGTTTAATTCTGAAATGTTTCAACCTTTCCACTGAACACAAATTTCTCCTAAAGCACACCCGCGCTGTTTATAACAATATTTGTAGATTCGAGTGTTGAGTTAGGGTTTCAGGTATATTGTTGTTAGGTCTTGCAAAAATAATTTTTGTTGCTTAGCTTCCTGGATTGGACATTTTATTGTGCTTTTGAGAGAACTGACCATCAACATGTCATCACGACTCATTGATTAAGCTTATTGTATTTCCCATGATGACCTGACAATGCAGAGGCAGGATCTACTCGCATTATGGCCTCTGTAAGAGCACACCACCTGCTTAATGTTGTTGTTTCACAGAATCATGATTCCGTCAATTCCCAGATCAAGCTCAAGCATTGGTACATTTTCTTATTTTTAACAGCTTTCATTTTTTATTCTAA